TCCCTCCCTCCCCTTCCTTCCTTCCTTCCTTCCTTCCTTCCTTCCTTCCTTCCTTCCTTCCTTCCTTTTTCTTTTTCTTCCTTCCTTCCTTCTTTCTTTCCTTCCTTCCCTCCTCCTCCCTCCCTCCCTCCCTCCCTCCCTCCTTCCTTCCTTCCTTCCTTCCTTCCTTCCTTCCTTCCTTCCTTCCTTCCTTCCTTCCTTCCTTCCTTCCTTCCTTCCTTCTTTCCTTCCTTCCTTTCTCTCTCTCTCTCCCTCCCTCTCCCTTCCCCTCTTCCTCTGTCAGGAAAGTAAGAGGGAAGGCTTAACCTTCAGTGTCCTAGTGGTGACCTGGTTCTCCTCCAATAGCTAATAATTGTCACCATTCCTGACACAGCATTCTGGTTCACTACATTCATTACAGTTTGGAATACGATTTCAAACAGTTGTTCAGATGTTGTATCAGGTTCCCAGAGGGACTTGCACATTTCATACTCTGAGCAGGTGTTACTGACCACCAAGTCATCAGTCACTATGGGGCAGCCAGTGCTTCTTGGGTCCGAGTGGATGGCAGGAGGCCCAAGGAACAGTTGAGGGGCTGGGTCCTTAGGATATAGGCTGACAATAACTAGTTCGAGGTCACAGTTGCCAAATGGCTTCTCACTGAGGAAGTTAGCCACTATGCTCATTAGGACGTGAGGCTTGATTTGTCATCCCTAGTGGTTCAGAAAAAAAAATACTGCTGGAATTGAGCTTTGAATTTCAAAAGAATGAGAGCTCTCTAGGGGCAGGGACTGCATCATTTCCTTCTTTGTATACCCAACATGTAGCACAGTGCTTAGCACTTGGTAAATGTGTGTTCAGTTGAAAGAATGAATTTTGACTTAGAGAAATTGCATTTGAGACCTGTCTCTGCCACTCAACATGTGTGTGACCTAAGTCCCCTTCAGCTCTTTGGCTCTCAAATTCATCTGCAGACAGAGGGGGTTAGACTAGATGAGTTCTAATGTCCCTTACATATAGCTCTGAACTGGCAACTCTGTGATCTGATCCTTCCGTTCATGTAAATTTCATGAGAATCTCAGGCCCCGAGTAAGCCTTGGTCTTTGTGTGAATGGTGAGCTCAGCAAGGTAGAAAGGTTATTGATGGGGAAAACCTTCTGCAAGTCAATGGTGGCCACACAGGCCTGGATCTTAAAGCACATGATGACTGTGATAATCACCCAGTCCTTCCCCTTCATGACCATGATGACTCTTCCATTACTGATGTGGCCCTAGTAAGGGAGGCCTCCCTGAGGAGCCCTGATCCTGCTCTATCCTTCCCTGATGGTTTTTTCTAAGTAAAAGGCATTTAATTAAACAGCAGAGCAAAATAAAAGACAAGACAGATTCTTACACCCCCGCCCCATAACGAGAGAGGGGGAAAATGCAGGGACCACACATAGCTAAGGAAAGTCATGCATTCAATGCTGCTTTTTTTTTTTGTTGCTGTCATTCAGTCATTTCAATCAAATCCAACTCTTTGTGACCCCATTTCAGGTTTTGTGGGCAAAGATACTATAGTAATTTGCTATTTCCTTCTCCAGCTCATTTTACAGATGAGGAAATGGAGGCAAACAGGGTTAAGTGACTTGCCTAGGGTCACACAGCTAGTAAGTATCTGAGGCCAGATTTGAACTCAGGAAGATGTCTTCTTGACTATAGGCCCAGTGTTCTATCCATTGCATCACCCAGCTGCCTCTTTGTTTTGACATAACTTTAATGTCTGAATACATCTGCTCTGCTACCCGGTAATTGAACCCTCCCTTGTGACAAAGAAAAAAATAATTAAGCAAAAATAAGTGAAACAGTAACTCTGATAATGCATGCAACATCCTGCTCTCCTACTCCCCTGCCTCTCTGCCAAGAGGAAGGAGGCATGATGTTTCATTTTATGGTTTCCAGTGGTTTATCAGTTCCTCAGAGTTTGACTTCCTTTTAGTTATCTTTTCCCTGACATCATTTTAGGCATTCTACATACTACTCCCCTCATTCTGACGCTTTTCTTACTACACCAGATCTACTTCATATTTGCTCAGTTTAAGGAAGGATTCAATCTGCATGATTATCAAGGCCTTGGTCACACTTTTATTTCTTCTCATAAGACCTTTCAAGAACAGTGTCAAGCTCCTGTTTCCATGAAATCAGTCAGCATCATGGGTCTTGAGCATTTTTTTCCCTAGTTGCATTTGGAACTTAATAACAACTTTTCTGGGTTCTACTGACTCTGCCAGCATCTGAGACTTTAATGGACTAGTTCCCATGTTCCTCTGGTATGTAAAGGAACTACATTGATGCTAATCCTCCAAAATTGCCCAAAGAATGGAGCTGTATTAGGAGCTGGGTGGCCCAGCAAACAGTGTAGGGGTCCCATTGCTTGGGAGCCTCTAGTTCTAGCCTTTTCAAAGGTATAGAATTTCCAACTACTTTCAAATTTTTTCTTATTCCAGAACAACTAAAGTAAGAATAAAAAGCTTTTTTTTAAAAAAGTTATTCCTTAAAATACATTTAAAGTCCAATAAGAAAATCAATTAAACCAACCAAGATATGTAGACAAGTAACAAAAATACACAAGACCAAAAGCTATTCTACAGCAGAAAATTATCAAACTATATGAACAAACAGTTCTCAAAAGAAGCATTGGGGCAGCTAGGTACCACCTAGCTGGATGGACTGCCTTGCCTGGAATCAGGAAGACCTCAGTTCAAATCTAGCCTCAGATACTTCCTAGCTGTGTGACCCTGGCCACACAGATAGGGTGTTAACCCTATCTGCCCCAGTTTCCTCATCTGTAAAATGAACTGGAGAAGGAAATGGTAAACCACTCCAGCGTCTTTGCTAAGAAAATCCCAAACAGGGTCACAAAGAGTAAGACACTACTGAACAACGATAACAAAAGCGATTTCTCCATAGAAAATTATCAAAGGATGTGAACAAAACAGTTCTCCATTAACAATCACATATATTAATCCAAATCACCACTAATAAGAGAAATGTAAATATAGAAAATGCTGAGGCTTTACCTCCCGCTCAGAAAACTGGCAAAGATGACTAAAGATCATGAGTAGTTAATGTTGGAGGAATTGTGGAAAGAGGCACACTAATGCATTGTTGGTGGAGATGTGAATTACTACAACTATTCCCTTTGTCTTATGGAGTCATTTACATTTTGGTCCATTCTAATTTTCAGGGAGTTCAGTTCTTGCATAAGGTCTTTTCTAAGGTATTAATTCTCCTTGCCATTCTTTCCTTCCTAGCACTTCTATTGTTTAATTTCTTGTTTCATTTCTTCCAGGTGGTTGAGATATTCTCTTCTCTGATGCACTACTTGGCCACGTTGTGAAGATACTCTCTTCTTCTGGTTTACTCTCTTGGGTTTCTCTCAATACAAGATATTTCCTTATTGTGTTCAACATTTTTCTTCTGTTTAGTCATATTTCAGGTCTTAGTTTTTAGACTGGGGGCTTGTGCTTAGGTCAAACTCTACTCTCATACTCCCAGCCGGTATTGGCAGCCCCTGCTTGATCCCAAGTTTGGTGTCTTCTAAGTGTAGGATCTACCTTCTGAAGGAACTCTCTATCCTTGTCTTCTGCTGTGGCTCAAGACTAGACTGCCTGGGTGCTGGGGCTACCTCAATGCTAAACTGAACTGGGACTACCTGAATGCTGGTCTGGCTCTGTTTCCTGACTTGGCAGGGCTCCCTAGGTATCTCTGCACTAGGTTACGCTCTGGCCCTGTCTCCTAATATGGGACCATGCTATTTTACACTTCACCTTCACCTTCTAGAGGAGTTTGACAATCTGTGCAGTCGTGGACTAAATGAAGGAGTTTACAGCTAATTCTCTTTGATTTACTCTATGACTGTTCCTTCCGGTGTGTTTTTAGAGCTTCACTTAGGTGTTGGGGCGGGGCAGGAATCTGAACTCCTCTAGGTCCTGACAAGCTGCCATCTTTTCACAATTCCATGGTGCAACAATTCTGGAAAGCAATTTGGAATTCTGTGACCAAAATGCCCATATCTTTTGACTCAGAGTTCCTTTGCAAAGCATATACTCTAAGGAAATTGTTGTCAAAAAGAAAGGCTCCATATATACTGAAAGATTTATAGCAATACTTTTAGTGGTAGCAAAGACTTAGGGACAAAGCAGATGTTCATTAATTGGGTAATGGCTAAACAAATTGTGGTACATGAATGTAATGGAATATTACTGTGCTGTAAGAAATGATAGATGCGATGAATACAGAGAAGTATAGAAAGATCTACATGAACTGATGCAGATTGAAGTAAGCAGAGCTAAGAAAACAATATACATGACTACAAAAATATAAGGGGAATGAACGACTAAAAAACAATCAAAACTGACTGTTACAAAATTACAAAGAATGACAATACCCTTCACTCCTTGACAGAGATTAGATCCACAGGTATTAAACACTGCATATTGGGTCAGATTTTTTTCAATTGGTTTTGCTGAATCTTTTCTTTTTCTTCTCTTTACATTTTTTTTTGTTATAAAGTGTGGTTTTCTTGGACACAGAGAGGGAAGAATTCTAGCTAATGAAAAATTAAAAAATACCAGTAAAAACCCATTAAACAATCAACAACCAAAGATATTTTGGGAGGGTCTGTGGTGATGAGAGTGGAGGCGAATCACTAGGAGAGCTTGTAGCCTTCCCTGAGAAGTCATATGGTGTAAAGGGAAAAGCATAGGACCTATAATCAGAAGGCTTAGGTTAAAATATTGGCTCTAATTATTACTAGCTATGTGACCACAGGCAAGTTGTTCTCCTTTTCCCCATCTTCAAAGTGGGAGTAATAATACTTACACTGATTATCCCACAGGGCTGTTGGGAGGAAAATGCTTTTTTTTTTTAATAAAACTTTTAAAATGCTTACAGAGCTTTGAGTTGGGATCATTGTTCAAGGTGAAGAGAAGGGATATACTGAGAAAGTCAACACACACCCATCCAATGCCTTTCCATACCTGTATTGCTCCTCTTAGGTTGATTCCAGTTTCAATGGCGACATAGTAGGATGCTTGCAGAAACGTCCTCTGTAGCAGGAGGGCAAGGAACAATAGCACAGCCAACACGTAGGCGTTGGCAAGGAACTCTTCAGATGAGACAAAGTAAACACCAAGGAACTTAGTCTGTTGGGTGAAAAGCACAGATTGGAAGTAAATATCATCACTGACAAGTAGCACCACGGTTAGGCAGACTTATAGGGCACTTCGTATGATGGAAGAGGACATGGATGGCTACTGGTGGGCATCATCACGGATTTTCAGAGGCTACGTAGTCTACCAATGTGTGTCTGAACAGAAATTCCCTCTACAACTTTCCTGAGAACTCACCCAGCAGTCACTTAGAATTTGCTTAGAGATTTCTGTGAACTTAGAGTCATGGATCCCGATTTAAAATTTTGGTTTTGTTTCTTTCTATTCAGGTAACTTTAGGCAAGTCACTCAGTCTCTCTGGGTCTCAGTTTTCTCATTTTTAAAATGATGGGGTGGGACTAAATGATTACTAAAGTCGTCCCAGCTCTAGATCTATGGCAATGACTACGACCGGGTGATGGGGAGCTCACTACCTTAGGAGGTAATCCACTGCAGAAATTTTCCCCCTTAACTCGTGGTTTAATGCGCTTTTCTACAACTTCTAACCACTGCTGTTAGTCTGCCCTTTGGGAACAGCCCTTCAGATAAATGAAAACAGTTTTTATGTTCCTTCCAAGTCTGCTCTTCTTTGGCTAAACATCCTCAGTTCCTTCAGTCAATCAATGTAAGGCACGGCTTACAATCCTCTCGCCATCCTGGTTGTCCTCCTCTGTACATACTTCAGATTGTCACTTTCATAAAAGTTACCTTCTGAGAGTACCTTCAGATATTGAGGGCAGCCAGGTGGCACAGTGGATAGAGTGCCTTGCCTGGAATCGGGAAGACCTGAGTTCATATTCAGCTTTTGACACTTACTATCTGTGTGACCCTAGGCAAATCACTTAACCCCATCTGCCTTAGTTTCCTTACTGTAAAATGAGCTGGAGAAGAAACGGCAAACCACTCCGATATCTTTGCCAAGAAAATCCCAAATGGGGCCATGAAGAATTGGACATGACTGAAAATGACTAAACAATAAGGGAAGACTATAATGAAGCTTTTACTGCCCTGGTTCTGGACACCCTCCCTCTTCTAATGCATTCTGCAATCCCATGTCCCAGCATTGACTGTGGACTGTATTTATAACCAACTAAAACCCCTGAGACTGTTTCCACACAAGCTGCTGTCTAAGTCATGTTTCTCCTATCCTGTATTTGTTCTTGGGCTGATGGAGAAATCTAATTAACCATTTCTATCCAATTAAAGGAAGGCCTAAGCTGCTGTCCTCCCCTCGACATGGGGGCCAAGGGAGTGGGGCCAGATTCTCACCCTAGGTCCTAGATCTCTGGTTCTCTGTGCTTGGGCACTGCTGTGAGCAGTGTTCCCTGGTGAAGCATCAAAGACACTGAGCAAATCACTGATTAGCTGAAGCCAGAGCTGTTGGAACAAATCCCTCGATGTTTGTTATCTATTTTCTGTCATTAAAATGTTATCAGCCAACATTATTCGTAATATTAATAGGAAGCAATTGAGAGGGGCAGGGGAGTTATGAGTGCCCAAGAACAGAAGACGGCCAGAGAACACATCCATTCATAGCTCTCCAGGCAAGGCAAATGGAAAGACGTGTGCATTTTAGACAGAAGTCCTCTAGCCCCCGGTCTCTAATAATTCTATCATTGTAATATAGCAGAAGGAATACTGCCTTGGGAATAGTAAGGTTCAGTTCTCAGCTCTGCCATTCAGGTATGTGACAGCAGGAAAATCCGTCCCCTTCCCTTCCTGGGCTTCAGTTTCCTCCACTGCAAAATGAAGGAACTGGCCTAACTGAATGCTCAGGTCACTTCCAGGTTTGCCATTCCAGAGTCTAAATGTCCACTTCATGCTTCTGGTGTTCAGTGCAGTCCTCAGCTAGGTCCTGCCCATAATAGGCAGCTAGAAAAACAAATTTCTTGCTAAAGACACCAGGGAATAAGTGTTTTCTTTTAGAGGCAGCATAGGCAGCTATAAGAAACACTTTGATCTTGGTAAACAGGCACTCACGGACAGTACTACATCAATATTTGCATGAAGCTGGAATAGTTTACTTTCTGAGAAATTACATTGAACTCACTAGCTTTTAAATGAAAATCCCATTAAAGTAGGGAGAAACTGGGCATTCTCATCTTTAGCAGTCTCTCGCTCACCAGTCTGCAGGAAAATCTCTGGTCCTGCAATGTCAGAGGAAGGACCTCCAGGCTCTCAGCTATGTGGCACAGTGTAATTCCGTTTACAGTCAGCTAATTTGTCAATTAAACTACAAGGATTTCCTAAGCACTTACAAATGCTAGGTAGTATTTGAAGTTCAATGACAGAAGTGATAGAATCTCTGACCTCAAAAGGCTTACATTCTATCAGAAACAACATGAACACATAAAAGCACATACAAAAATAGGTAAATTCAAGATAGTTTTAAGGAGAAGCACTAGGAAGTAGCATCTGGTGAGGGTTAATATAGAAAGATTTCATGAACTGAATTTTGAAAGAGACCAGAGATTCTAAGAGGCAGAAGTGAGGACAGAGTGCATATTGTGCATAGGATACAGCCAGTGCAAAGTCATTTAGGTGGGAGATGGAGTGTTATAGGTGAGGAACAGCCAGAAGACCAATTTATCCGGATCATAGAGTGCATGAAGGGATGGAAATAGAATAAGGATGGAAAGGTAGGTCATAGGTCTAAAAGTTGTTTTAAAATAGAAATATGTACATATGTACATATTTGTGTCTAATGGTGGCCATCTCTAGGGCTTGGTGGGAGAGGGGAGGAGGGATGAAAAAAAGGACAAAGAAAAAAAGAGAAATTTACATGATGACTTTATTGTATATTTAAAAGGAATAGCAAGTTGTACATAATAGATTTGCAGTTTCAGTGCAATCATTTTTTTTATTATATTAGGTTATAGAAATGCTTATTTTATTTCATAAATTAAAAATAAAATAAATTTTTTAAAACAGGAATTTAAATGCAAAACAGAAGAGTTTATATTTCATACTTGGAGCAATAGAAAAATACTGAAATTTTTTGAGACTGGGAATAACGTGCTAGGAGAGAATCACTTTGGTAGCTGTGGGGAAAATAGATTAGGGAAGGCAGATACTGGACAGGGAGATCAGTTAGGAGGCTGATGGAATAGTGCAGGTGAGAGGTGTTGAGTACCTACAGTGGTGGCCACGTGAGTAGAAAGAAGGGGATGGATTCAAGAGTTGTGAAGACACAATTGCTAAGGCTTGGCAGGTGACTGACTATGTGGGATGTGGGAGAGTGAGGAGCTGAGGACAGTGATGCAGTTGTAAACGTGAGTGCTTGGAAGGATGTTGGTACCCTTGACACAAACTGGAAAGTTTGGAAAAGTGGGAGAAGTGGGGCAGGGAGATACAAGTTTTCGGACACGTGAGTCAGAGATTCTAGGGTTTAAAATGTCTACTGTGCAGTTGGTGATGTGAGAAAAGAGTCCAGGTAGAGAAACTGGGGCTAGATATATGCATCTTTGAGTCATCTGCCTAGAGCTGATAATTAAACTCATGGGAGCTGATGAGGTCACCAAGTGAGAGAATATATAGAGATGAGAGCTCGGGATAGAGCTTTGGGGGATAGCTACCCTCACAGCCAACATGCATATACATGTCCATATATACATAATCAGGACACATGCTCTTAAAGGGAGATTTCCCTTCAGGAATAGCAAGAACCAGACACCATAGGGAAGCGACAGGTTCTTAATGAGGGATCATCTAAGCCCCTAGAGAGAGAGACAGCATCATACGATATAATGAGTCCTCTCTGGGGGCTTCCTAGCTCAGAGATACTCTCCCCAGTGCACAGTAAAGACTAGCTGGGGGAGAAGGACAGAATGGAGGGCCTGTATCTTTTGAATCAGAACACAGAGATTCTTGGGAAAAAGCTGAGCCGGAGATAAAGACAGTGAAAAATGGAAAATAGTGAAATTAGAGTAAAAAGATAGTGAAATCTGGAAGCACAGAGACAACCAATTCCTCACTCAGAGATCTAGTTCAGTGGAGTCAGGGACAAATCTCTGACTACCAAGGGTACAGGAGATGCCTGTCTTCTGACTGGTTTGGGAACCAGAATCTTTTCTTTTAATCATATGGACACCGGACACCCCACTCACCCCGTGTTTCTTCTCCTGGCTCTGCTTTTGACTCTGAACTTGTCACCACACTTCTCACCCTGGAACATCCCTTTGTCCTTGAAATCCCCTTCTCCTCTGGATGAATTTCTCTCAGAGGCTCCATTTCCATGCTATTTTCCCTCGTTGGAATATAATCTCCTTGAGGGTAAGGACTCTCTTTTTTTCTACTATTTGTGTCCCCAGCAAGTGTAGCACAGTGCACGGTGCATAGTAAGCAATTTAAAAATGTTTGTGACCTGGCTGTTGACTTGTCAGAATCACAGACACACGTCCCCCATCTTCCCCAAGTTTGGGTCTTTTTTTTTTTTTAATGTGGGCCTTCACCTGGGCTTGCCTCAAATGCTAATTTCCAGGGGATGCTGTTGTATTGTTTGCTCACTGGCCACAAACAGAGCTGGGAAGCTCATTGAAAAGCAATCTAATAACCTAACATCTAGGAGGGAAGCTCTGGGCAGGTTTGGACACAGGAGCTCATGCAGGAGTCTGCAGTACTGGGGTCCAGGGAGACAAAGCATCTTATCCAAGGTAACAAGGCAGGAAATAACAGAGCCAGCACTTGAATCTAAGCCTTATGACCCCATGTCCAGCGCTCTTTCCATAACACCCTGTTGGGGTGTTGTTAAATGTTAGCTATGAAGCCGGCAAATCCTCTGTTTTATAAACAGCACAGAAGAAAGACACGGACTCTGGGAGTCAAAGGACCTGGGTTCAAGTGTGACCTTGTTGGTAAGGTACTGAACCTCCTTGGCCCTCAGTTTCCTCATTTGTAAAATGATGGTGTCAGAGTAGCTGGCCTCTGATATCCCCTCTAGCTGTAGAGCCTCATGGGCCTACATTTATATTTAAAATAGTACATGGAGCAGCTTG